GACCAAAACCCTTAAACTTTTTAAACTTTTAGCCGTAATAAGAAACACAACTTATATTGAGACTCAGTATAATTGGCACATAGTTTATATAGAAAAGTGTTACAAAACAATACTTATGCTTCATTAACAAGTTAGTGTCTTTCTGGCTCTAGATCCATATTGCTTCTCAAAGCTACTCTCTGATGAACTCTGACATTCTGCTTCGCCTTTAAAAACAGAAATCAGGGTTATACGAAAACAACCCCCTAGCAGGTCACGACCTATAGTCTAAGAAATCCTGGCCTGTCCAGGAATGGGCCCCTACCTTGTTCTTCCCAGCCATGCCCATGCTGTGCTCCTCCTCCTGAACCATGCTCCTTTGCAGTGGCCAGGCTTTCAGCAACCACAGGGCCTTTCCCAGGCTGTTTTGACTACTGAATCTCTCACCTTCCTCCCCTCATATCATATTCCCTGTTCTGGGGGCAATGAATGTACCTTATGATAGACCCTCTGAGTCCTCATCATGGTTGTAATTTGATATTTATGGCTGACTGATGATTTGAATAAATACTTGCATCTTCCCCAGTAGACTGGACATGGTAGGAGGGCAGGGTCCCTGTGTTTTAACTCACTGTTGGGAGAGGTAGTCTGCCTGCATCTTGAGCATCCTTGCACCTTGTTGCTGGCTATGTGGACAATTGTTGGCCCTGACTACTCTTCCCAGGCTGTTTCCCAGCAGATATTATGTTGATCATAGATATCTTGAGGTCTGAACTATCATCTTCCTCCAGGAGAGACAGCAGACTTGCTTGCTGCTTTCTGTAACATATCAGGGTCCCCATGCTCAGTGTTCTTCTGCAAAGCCACTATATATGTGTGTGTGGCATCCACCTGGACCCCACCATACTATCCCTGTGGGAATAAGGAACATGGAAAATGTGCAGACCTGCCGGTGCTCATGCTGTCTATTGTCCTGTCACAGTTCTACGCCTCTGTCTGTGTCAGCATCCATGAACCAATAACAGTCTAACTTAACTAACTTGTAAACAGGTTAAAAAGTTCCAGACATAACCCTAGCCATTATTCTCCTAACAGCACACACTATCTGGCAGAAAGTAGATATTCAGTATTTATGTGTAAGATGAATACATGGATAGATGGACTTTCTCAACTCATACTTAAGACATTGCAGGGATCAAACCTTTCCAGAAATGCCAACCACATTCTGGAATCCTTCTGAGATTGCACAGATGACAGTTGAGGGGGGGACACAAAGATTTGTCCTTAAGTCTCTGCATTTATGTGCCTAATTAGAACTTTTTTGTTCAACCAGCCCTTATTCTGATACGTAAAGTATTTAAAGGGGTAAGCTCATCAGATAGCTGTACTTCCTGAATTACTTGACTTGGTCTAATGTTCTAATGTCGAGCTGAACTTGGTGGTGATGTTTGGGGAGGGCTGATGAAGGAGGTTGGCAGCCTGGGGCAGGCAGAAGCTTGGGTTCTATTGCAAAAGGGGAATTCTAGACATATCTGGGTGTCTTGAAGGGGGCTGGAGAGTAGGGGATCCAGGAAGTGAGAAAGAGAAGTGGGACAGCAGCAAAGGCAAATGTGGCCTCAAGTCCTGCCCACTGGCTGGTGGCAGGAGTTAGGGACACATCTCGAAAATTCTTCTCTGAGGCTGCATGGGCTAGAGTGCTTCAGATGACAGCTGTCCAGAGGGATTGTTCCCCTTTTGCAAACAGCATTTTTTTTTACGACATAAGCAAAGTTTTTGCACTTAGATTACAGCTACCTTCAGGACAGATAAAAGAAGGAAAAGAAAGCAAGAGAATGTAAAATTTAAAGCCATTAAGGCTTATTAAATTAAAAGTTGAATAATGTATGGAAAGGCAGATAGCTCTTTGGGATTCTTGGAGATGGTAGGATAAGAAGAACCTTCAGGTTTGGACTGGATCAAGTGTTCTCACCAAGGAGATACCACCCCTGAAGAGGCAGAAATGGGTTCTTAAGAGACAAAAAAGAACTTAGATGTTCCATGGTTGTGGCCCTTTGGAGGATAAAGAGATATACAATGTTTCTATGTATTAAAATGTACTGGAGGAGGGGGATTAGAAAAGTATCTTTAATAGTCTTTGCGGGGGTGATAAGGAAAAAGTTGAAAACACTTGACTTCCTGAATCAAATGGAAGGCTTTTGTTGACCACCAGTGGGTCCTTCTGGAAAATGAAACAAGTGCGTTATTTCAGCAGAAGGAAAAAGATCCCCCCTCCCCTACTTCTCTTTCCAATACTGAGATTTGAACCCAGGGATGTTTTAGCCTGAGTTACATCCCCAGGCCTTTTTATTTTCAGTCTCACTCCGGTGCTGAGGCTAGCTTTGAATTTGTGATCCTCCTGCCTCAGCCTTCTCCTGAGTCTCTGGGATTACAGGCACATGCCACCATGTCCTGTGTGGAAAAAGATCTTACACATCACCTAGAGGACATTGTGTTGGAAATCTAAATGCAGCAGTGGGCAACTGGGATGCTCCACATGGTTGCTCAGTAGGTGATAAGCTTGCTGACCCCATAAAACTTCACTGTGCCCAGACTGCCAGGCTGATGGCCTCACACACACTGGAAGCCCCCTAGACACAGCAAGAGGAAGACTTGATATAGAAGTCAAGATTCTAGAAATTAACCCACCTACTTCCTACCCTCCCATTTGTTCTGTTTCTCTTCTGCCTGTCCTCTCCAGCTCTGGTTTTTGCTACAGGCAGGAAAATCAGTAGCAATGTTCATGAGTGAGTAAGAAGAATGCCAGAAAGAGAGCCGTGTCCTGATAGGAAAGAAAGAACCTTCAGCCAAATCATTTCAGTGTGGAAAGCCAGATCATCTACTCTACTCTCTGTGAAATCAAATCATAATGCAAACCAAGCTTTTGGTTTTCCTAATCCATGCTGCTTTATCCATGTTCACCTAGATGCGTGGTTCCCTTACAAAACAAAAGTGAAGACAGTTTCAAAAGTGGGCAATGTATTGTTCTAATCCCTTAGGTAGGTATTCAACCTTGAATATGGCTTCTGGTCTCTGGGCTTAAAAGTCTGGACTTTGCCATTTGAAACGGTGATGTCGTCTTGGTGCTCTTAGGGTTATGAAAGATGGTCCACTATATCTCCTCTTATCGCCAGCCTTATCCTAATTCCCATTAAGGCAATGCTGGAAAGAAAAAAAATTTAATTGGGTAACAAGAATTTCCACTTTGGAAGCCATAACTACATATAGGTACTGTTTTTAAGAGCTTTGTATTAATTTTTTTTAGTACCAGGGACTGAGTACTACCACTGAGCTACATCCCTGGCCTTTCTTATTTATATTTATTATTATTTATATTATATTTTATTTTGAAACAGGGTCTCACTATGTTACCCAGGCTGGCCTCAAACTTGTGTTCCTCCTGCTTCAGTCTCCCAAACAGCTGGAATTACAGGTGTATGCTACTGTGCCTGGATTAATTAATTCATTTATTCATAAACAACCCTACAAGGGGAACACTATTTTATCAACCCTATGATACAGAGAGGGAATTCGGGTACAGAAAAGGTGAGTCATTTGTCCAAGGTCACACTGCTACTAGTAGCATTAGGATTTGAACCCAAACCTTTGGTCCCTGGAGAACTTGCCAAATGCTCATTTAATGTATCCTTGGCCAACTCTCTGCACTTGTGGACATCTTTGAATTCATGGATGAATGGGCTTAAGATAATATTGCTCTTAGCACAATGTACTTGGGTTTGAGTCTTAATTAAATATAATAATGTGCCAGGCCCCATGCACTGTTGACTCTTTGGGCCACTTTTATATAATGAATGAATTAATGGAGCATGCTGCCCTCTTGTGATGAAAATCACCCCCATGTGTCACCCCCATGTGACCTGTAGCTTTCTTGAATGCACATACTTACTTCCTTTGGTCCAGTCTTGTGGCTGGGGATTGGGGATGTGCGACTATACATGAAGCTGTTGACTCTGTAGAGTCAAAACTCTTAACCTGCCATTCTCCAGGATGCTCCTAACCTAGGACTGTCAGTGAGGTTCACAGATATGACAGAGTCCTGTTGCTTTTAACATCATCAACATAGGAGAAAAATAAGAGGTTTTTTTCTGTGGAAATGCCAGGAACACAAAAAAGACCTCATATCATTTTGCTTGGCCTAGATTGGAACCACGTTTAACAGACTTGGCAGAAAGACGATCAGTTGCAAAGTGAACTGAAGGTTGCAAATCTATCAGAACAGAGGCACAATAAAACCAGCCAGAAGGCACGTGTTTGTGTTCCAGCTCCACCAGGAATAAGTGTCTGACCTTGGGCGAGTTGCTTTTTTCTCTGATACCAGTTTCCAGGTGGGTAGAGTGAGGGGTTGAACTAAGTGATCTGGAGATCTTAGATGGGCAAGGTGCGGCATTCCACATTTGCTGAGCCCCCTTCCCGGAAGGTTTTCCTCTTTGCCTTTTTTAATTTTTGTACACATCCTGTTTAATAAGATACATATTCATGTTACTAGTCCTCAGTTTCCTCATTCATGAAATAATTTCTACATTACAAGGCTATGGGAGGAAGTAGTTTCCATCAGACCTGATATTGCAGGGCTGAGTCAGGCCAGGTTTGTTTAGGCAAAGCAAGCACACAAGCACACGTCATCCAGGAAAACTGACTTTGAATGTCTTAACACATGCACATTAGTCATCACCTTGTACACTACCACCTAAATAGATGGCAATTTGTGGGCTTTTTAATTCTTTCCTTCAGCTATATTTGTTGGTATTGTGAGTCTTGGACACACATGTCCCTGTGCAGGCAGAGCCTGGACATTGTCTCTGCTGAATTGCAGGGGCAGGGAGTTTTATTCCTCCTTAGAGGAGACACTGATGGTTACATTGTTCTCTTTCACCTGTATATCTAAACGTTTTTTTAATCCCTAACAGTTAAAAAGGAAATGAAATTTCATAGCAAGATATTTTAGCCTCAGTAATCCCACTGTGAAGAAATAACCATAAAGTTTTTAATTCTACCAAACAGTGTCTATAATAATCACAGCCAATCCAGAAACATGAATGTCTTAACAATTGGAACATAATAAGCAAATTCTCAAACTCATAGACTACTAATGATAATTTTAAAGACTATGGTAATGATGTGGGAAAATGTTTGATTAAGAACTGCAAATGGGCACTGGAATTATACCTATGAAAAACGATGTTCAGACAAAGCACAGGAGATGATATGTAAAAACTGAAATAGCTGCTTTGGTAAGCTGATATACACATTTTCAAGGTTCCCTTTAACATTGTGATACCCCTTTTACAACAAAAATAAATGCACTGTGAGACAGAGGGAAAAATCAGGGAAGATTTTTTGAGACATTTTGACTTTTGTTATTGGTTACAAAAAGCACCCCAAGTGGTCTTCAAAACCTTGTGTTTATTTAATCTATTATTTTAAGTCTTTCTTAAATCACAGGTCATTTTTTCAGTGTGTAATGTCTCTAGAAGTCTTCAGTCAGTTGTATGTACAGTTCATTCGGTTTTCAGATGGAGAGAACAGTGCTGGAACAGCCCTGCTCTATAGCTGTGCCACAGGCCTCATGTGGTCACACAAGTCTTGGCCTCCTCATGAACCGAGTCTGCTTTCATTGAAATGCCCCTCCATGGTCATAGTTTTGTCTTTCAGCTCCAAAGCAAGTTTCATCTTGTGTTCTTTTCTTCTTCTCCTGTTGAGAGCCACAGCCGAAGGGGCCCCAGCAAACTTCCAGCTGCCAGCAAACTTCCAGCTGCCGGCTGATGATTGGCTCACAGCGGCCCCAGCAACATCTAGCTGATTGGCTCCTCTGCGGTGATGCTCATTGGACTGTTTCCCTGCCCTTTCAGACCACGGAGCTGCTCATTGGGGGACTTTTTTGGCTCCGCCCACATGACCCAGCCAATCGGCCTCAAGAGCAGGAGGATTGTGGGACGGGGGAGAGAAGCTTGTGTGGGAGAGAGAGGTTTGTGGAAAGCCGGTGGTGGCAGTTGAGGCTCTGAGGGTTTTTCCTGAGAGGCTGTTTTGTTTGGCGTGTGTGGTTCTAAAAATAAAGTTAGTTTCTTTTGACAAGTGGCTCCTGATTGTGCCCAGCCAGACTGCGGCATTCTCCTCCTCCTCCTCTTGCTCCTCCACCCCTGTTTCTCACCCCCTCCTCCTCCATCACATGCTACTTAGAAACAGACATACTGTACCACACCTGGAAAAATGTCTATGATCCCAGTGCTCCTGCCTGGTTCCAGAGCTGAAAGGAAATTGGGATATTGCTCACACCCATGTGCCTGGCTCTGTGCAGTGGTGCTGGCCTCTGCCCTACTATGCAATGAGGACAAGATACCACAAAGCTAGGATACTACAGGAACCTTGATGTCGAATTTTACTTTGAGAACTTCCACTGCCATATTTAGTCTTGTTGGAAAGGTCCCTCTAAGCCTAGGAGTGAGAGGGGAAATGAGAAAGGCTGGTTTTATAGTAACTGGTGGGTACAGAGGAGGAGACCCTCAGCCAGGCACACCAACTACTTTCTAGAACACCTTATTTCATCTTCTCTCAATAACCTCCTGAGTCAGTGCTCTTGGATTCCCATTTTTCACAGAGGATATCAAGATTCCAGCAGACCTAGGCTGGGCCCAAAGCCACGCATCAGGGCAAAAGCAGGCTGGAGCTCCTCGGAGCTAATTACACTTGGACACAGTGACTTTCTATGGCTTTTTAAATTGAGTTCCAAATCAGTGTGAACATGATATAAATGCAGGGATGAAGTACAGAAGCAATAGTTTCTTTCCTCAAATCAGCCAAGGCACACTATGGAAAGGAATGGTCAGTCATATCCCAAGTTCACAGAGCTCACTTTTTATATTTTCTGTTGTCTTTTTCATGATTAGGACAAGCCTGCACACCTGTGCTCAGCTCATCTGTGTGGTGGAGACCCTTTCTGGCAAGCTGGAAACCTGCTTTTGGTTTTATAAAAGGATCAGAATCTACCTTTCACCATGTAGAAGATGGAGGTGTTACAAATAGAACTTCAGACTATAACCACACAAATGGAGTCCCTGAGAGGTTGCGGTCTTGCTAGTCTTTAGAGCAATAATGTTCAGTAGTTGCTGAGTAAATTTTAGACTTTCAAGAGTTTACATTTAGCTGTTTGATAAAATCTGAACTTTGTCCCCAGGAAGTGTGTTTCTTGGTGAGTTTGTAGTCTGAGTCTGTGCTCTGTGTTCCTCACGCCCTTGGCCTTCAGCTCACCTTGAGGATTTCCTTGCCCTTTGCAAGAGGATCTACTGCCCAGACTGCTGCCTCAGAGGGAGATGACCAGGTGAATATCTGGGTCTGGGGTGGGAGACACACTGGAGGAAGCACCACAGCAGTGCCTTTAAGGGAATCATCACCATACGGTGGTCTGAGCTACAGGATATCCCCCATAACCTGCTGAATCGCACCCTCCCTAGCAGACTGTGTATGGAGCCAGGCTTGAACCTAGAACACTGTGGCTTTCTAGGAGGGACCCCTTACCCTTCCCATGCTGTCCCCTCTTGCCTCAGGACCACCTTGTCCTCCATCCATCAGTGAACAGCCAAGGAAGGTAGTGGACCTGGCAGGACCTACTGTGTGCTGTGGTGAATGCATGAAATTGGGCCACTCCATGTGTCCTGAGCCCAGCCAGCACAAGAGCCCCCCCCCCCCGTATGGATTCAGAGGCCAGATGGAGCAGCCTCAGATAGTGCCTCCACCTTTTCTTGTCCCTTGGTAGGTGGAGAGGACCGTGCCAGACCACACTTAGGATGCCTCTGGCCTCCCTTCTTCAGGCCTCCCCCTGGAGCACTTTATCCAGAACGTTCTCCACAGTGCATTGAGTCAGGCTCACAGCACACCAGGCCAAGTCCCTCCAAACAATCCCAGCCCTTTCAAAATGGTGAGCTTTTTAAATATTTTATTAACAAATGAGGTGGCCAAAGAACAAGTTCTCTTGTGATAACCCCACCCCACCCCACCTCACAGAGCATCCACCATGTGCCCCCCACAGTGGTGGGGGTCTAGCACACTTTGCTGGCTGAGTTCTCAGCAGGCTCCTCGAGTCTTCATTCACCCCCCCCCACCAGCTGTTGGGGGGCAGGAAGAGACTTCCCTTTTTTATTTCCTTTTTTGGTACCAGGGATTGGACTCAGAGGCACTCGACCACTGAGCCACATCCCCAGCCCTATTTTGTATTTTAGAGACAGGGTCTCACTGAGTTGCTTAGTGCTTCGCTTTTGCTGAGGCTGGCTTTGAACCTGCAATCCTCCTACCTCAGCCTCCCCAAACACTGGTATTACAGGAGTGTGCCATCACGCCTGGCTGAGACTTCCCTTCCTAAGAGGGCAATGTAGAGAAAAGCTTCTGTGTGGTGTGAGTGCCAGGGCCACCAAGACAAGTCATGCCTATCCCTCTGGAGAACAGGAGTCCATGCTTCTTCCTGGGCAGGCACATTAGCTGTGGAGTGCAGTTGGGACAGGTAGAGGCCAGACTCGAAGCTCTATGTGATGAAGGCATTGTCACTGTCTTCCTCTTAGACTGGCCTAGAGAGCATCCTCTTATCTTGTCAGCACACAGACTCAGGACTGAGAAGCCTGTGATGAGCTCCTGACACCAGCTCCCCACAGGACCTTGGATGAGCCACATCCCCACATCCTACACCCTTCAGTATCCACAGCCATGAAGGGGACATCAGTACGTGGGGAAGTACTAAGGAGGGTGGATATTTCCTGTGCATTGAGAACCTTCTTTCCGAGAAGCTTGGCACTGACTCTGCACCAGGTCCTCCACTCTCCCCTGAAGACAGCAGCGGTCAACACACTGGCTCTGATTCTTAGGGCAGGCATCTGTGCCAGCTGAGGCTGGCCTTTTCTCTTCAGTCTTATTCCTCCAGCTTTGGATAAAATTATTACAGATACACAACGAAGTCTTCATAGTATAGAAAACCTGATACTGTTTTGCAGTGACTACCGCAGCTCACAGGGTGCACACTGTTTCTGCAACACCCTAACAGCTTAGGGTGGACATCACCACGGAGGTGGGCCTGCATCATTAGGAGTGTGCTCCAACAGGCCCCTGGCCGCATGCCCTGGGTCGCAGCCTGCTTGCCCTGACTGCACAGGGTGGCAGCAGCTGCTACAGGGTCTTCCAGGGCGAAGACCCAAGCATAGTAAAGTCCTCTCAGAAACAAATGATCCGCTTCTCATCTTCAAAGACTTTGGCCTCCTCTGGCTCTATCAAGTTCCCATTTAGACTAGTAGAAGGAGAAAAATAATTAAAATATATATATATTTTTTTAGTTGTAGATGGACACAATAACTTTTGTTTATTTTTTTATGTGGTGCTGAGAATAGAACCCAGTACTTCACACGTGCAAGGCAAGTGCTCTACCACTGAGCCACAACCCCATCCTGAGAAAAACAAATTTTACACACAGGAAAGCACTGGGGACTATTGGATGCTCCTTCCGTGTCCCTAACTCACTCTTGAGCATAACACAGCCCTCAAGGTAAGGAACAGGCTCTATTCAAGTGGTGCTTTGATACTAACATTAATCCTCTCCAGTCACTTTTGCTTTCATAACTGGGCATCTCACTAAGGTCACCTAGAGCCTCCAAAAGCCTGAACTTAGTGACATTTTTCTCAGGTCTTGTCTTCTGGGCTTTCACAGGCAGCATTTGACTGTCCTAACAGTTTCCCCCTTTTTTTTTTTTTTTTTTTGCAGTAGCAGGGATTGAATCCATGAACATTGCGTGCTAGGCAAGCACTCTGCCACTCAGCTACATCCCCAGTCTTTTTTATTTTAAGACAGGGTTGTAGCAAGTTGCTCAGGCTGGCTTCAAACTTGGGATCCTCCTGCTCCAGAGTCAGCTCTCCATCTTTGAAGCACTACCTTGCCTGGGCTTGATGTCATGTTTTCCGGGTTTCTCCTGTATCTGAGCACTCTGCCTCAGCCTCCTTTCCTGTACTCTCCATGTGACCTCTGACTACTGAGTTTCCTCCAGACTTGGGGCCAGGCCTTTTCCTCAGGCCTTCTCATCTTTGCCACAGCCTCATTCAGAGGTCAGTGGAGCCTGTTTCCTACCTTATGTCTTCAACTTGGAGTTTCCAGGCACCTCAAAATGATAACACCTCCCCAGGATTCCCTTCATCAGTTGTGTCAGATAGGACCCGGGGTCCACCTTGACACTCTCCTCCTCCTAGCCATCCCTAGAATCCCTGCCTGGAATCTCTCTGTGGCCTCCATTCCACACTCTGGGCTGGGCACCCATCTGCTCTCAACCTGGACCACTGCAGTATCTCCCTGTCAGGCCCTTCATAAGTGCCCTAGTCTCAAATCAAGTTTCCCAGAAGGGACCTAAGTGGTCCCTATGCCTTGGAAATCTGACCACATCCTTCTCCTGCTTCAAACCCTTCAATGAACCTTCCATTACTTTTAGGATAAAACCCAAAATACATGATACGTAACTCACAGATCTTTCATGGCCTGGGCTCTGCCTGTCTCCTCTGCCTCCCCTTACCCTCTCACACAGTCTGAACCTTCTAATGCAGCAGCTTCTTACCATTCTCTGTGGACACCACACTCCCTCCTTCCCAGAGCCTGGGCATATGCTGTTCTCCCTACCTTGCAACACTCTCCTTCCCTCCCAGCCTAGCTGACTAACTTACTCACCTGTTTCGTGATACTGGAGGTAGAACCCGGGGCCTTGAGCATGCTCGGCAAGTGCACTGCCTCTGAGCTGCACACTGGCCCCCGTGGCTTCGTTTAAATGCCACTTCCTTAGGAGACCTTTCCTGGACACCTGCTTTTGGCCTTCCCCCTAGGAGCACCCCTCACAATGATAGTTACATAACTCCTTAATGAGTTCCCCCCTCATCTGCCTCTCCCTCACTAGCTAGTGAGCCCAAGAGGGAAGATCCAATTTACCACAGATGCTCGGCACTAGCGGTGCCTGGTGCTCAAGCACTGTGTTCCTCAAGGAATGAATGAAAGATGCATCACTAGCCCCTGGGGACCCAGCTGTAACTACTACACAGGCTCTCCCCCTTCAGGAGCTCACAGGGTTGACACTGCCTCATGGGAGCTCCGTCTTCAAACACAAGAACTCTACTGAATAAATGTCAGTAGAAAAAAAGTCCAAGAAGATGCTCTTGTCAGTAGTGGCCTCAAGCGCAGTGTCCCTAAGCCCCAGGAGCCACAGCTCCCCTCCCAGTCCAGCACAGCCCTATGGCCTGCTGTGGCAGCTCCTGGACCAGGCCTAGTCCTTAGAAGCCATGCACAGAGAAATACCCTTTGGTAGCTCCCAGCACAAGCTAGGAACTGAAGGGAAGATGTCCCCAACGCCAGTACCTGAGCCATCTGTCCTGTCACATGTCTGGATTGATGGCCAGTCCACCCTCTCCACCTGAACACAAGTGTTTACTCTCTGGATAGCATGCCTTGAAGCCAAAGACCCTTGGCCTTACCCAGATAGTTCCTTGTGTAGGAACAGTGGCCTTGAGGGACAAAATGCATGTGTTCAAGCTTGCCAAAATTAAAGCAGCTACAGACAACTGTCTCTACCAGCTTGGAAAAAGAGTGTGGGCCAACTGTGGTCTGCAAACTGCTCCTCTCTGCATTCGGTCCTCAGACACAGAATCAACAGGAAGCAGAGCCATCCAAGGGCAGAGGTCACAGTGTGAGTGTAGCTGGAGATGCCTGCAGGCCAGACGCTCTGGAGCTCTCCAGCACTTTCCAGGCAGAAGAGCCAGCTGTGAGAGCCTCATGGGCATAGATGCCAGCGTTGTCATATTGGATCTAGGCTCCATTCTCTACAACAGCATTTTTTAAAAATGCTTTTGACCATGTCCCCAAATAGAAATTAAATTCACCCACATGCATGTCTGAAGTTAGAATACCCTGCTATGCATGTCGTAGCCCAATATTCTTTCCTTTTCAATTTTATTTGAAAATAATGCAAGCTGCCCTGGGTGCAGTGGCACACACCTGTAATCCCAGCTGCTCAGGAGGATTGCAAGTTCAAAGCCAGCCTCAGCAAAAGGGAGGCACTAAGCAACTCAGTGAGACCCTGTCTCTAAATAAAATACAAAATAGGACTGGGGATGTGGCTCAGTGGTCAAGTGCCCTGAGTTCAATCCCTCAGTGCCAAAATAATAATAATAATAATAATAATAATAATAATAATAATACAATCTGAAAATCACCAGACTGCTTTTTTGCTCCACTGACCAGTTCCAAAGCAAAGTAAAACACTATTCAAGGATCCAAGGCTGAAGACTCTACTTTGATTTTTTTTCTTGGCTGTGAAAGTCTTGAAGGGAGGAAGTAGTTAATAGGCAAGCACCCCCTGAGCTGAAGGACTGGGGTCATGGTGAGGCTGCCCTATGGATCTCAGAGAAGCCACAGTGGACACGTAACTCCCATGGTCAGTGTCCTCTACAGAAACCCAGCTCTGCCCTCTGCCAGCTTCTCCACAATGGTCTCTACCTTCACATTGGCAGGGGCTGTTGGAGACACCAGAGTCATGAGGACAAATATCCAGAGCACTGAAGAGTCTGCACACTGGGGCCTTCAGCTCTCAGCTCAGGCCAGCACTTTTGAGCAGTCAGGGCTCCTGCCATCAATTTAACTGCTGCACCTCTGGTGCCTGGCATGTAGCAGGTCCAGGCCTGGCGACTCTCATGACTACTGGGAAACACCTGTGTGTTCTATGAGCCACTCTCCCAGTATCTACCAGGCCTACCTCAGCCACAGAGTTGTTTCCAAGGGGCTATGGAGTGTGGGGTGGGGGGGACCTTGTGGGAGACAAGGAAGACCTAGATGGGGCTCGATGTTATAAAGCAAAAAGTAGGGTCTTTTTTTTTTTCCTTTTTTGCATTAGCATAAGTATGTTCTCAAAGCAGAACCAAGAATACAGGAAGAGCATACATCAGCTCAAATCCAGCCTGCTGGTGCCTCCTGAATCCCAGGATGCCAAGGAAGAGGGAGAGAGCTCTAAACTCCAGACCAGCACAGCCACCCCTAAGGCTCATGAGGTCCACCTCAGCAGGACTCCCTCTCACAAGCCAGTCTCTCATGCAACACCATGAAGGTCAAGGACAGGGGCCCAGGGCAGCAGAGCACAGGTGGTAGAGCCAGGAGGCTGGGCAGAATTCTACTTCTGCTCTTGCTGTGATCGTGGACAAGTTCTCTGCTGCTCAGGACCCCAGTTTCTACATCTGTATAGTGAAGCCAACACCACCACTCTAGAGGGTCATTGGATAGTCAGTGGAACTGCCCCATGTGGTGCTGGACACACAGACAGTAGTGCTGAGTCAAGAGTCCCTGTCAATATGGCAAGCAGACAACCTTACCAAATCTCCGTTATGCCAGTGTTGTTCTGTAAGGCCTCTGCTAGCTGGGCGGTCCCCGTGGCTGTGATCTGATTCTGGATGAGCCTGAAAGAAGAGCACACCTTGTGTCCAATACAGAATGCTGGGTGAAACCTGCCCCCTTCACAGGGAGTTGCAGGGACCAACAGGATCAGAGATGGGATTGGAGGTGGGGACCAGATCCTGTGACTCTTCATCAAGCTAAGGTAGCCTCACATGAGAATAATGAACAGCCTTTAAAATTTTTTTTCTTAGTGCCCATAATACATCTGTTGACTTAGATGTAGACAATGTCATACATGAAGAGGGGTGTGTGTACATGTGTGTAATACATGAGTAGGGGCAAGTGCATACGTTTGTGTGTGCATGTGTGTGTCTGAGAAAGAGAGACCTTTTTCATCATAGGAGTGCCCAACCAAAAAAGTATGGATATCACCCATCTGAACAACAAATTCCAAGAAACATATCACCAGGGTAAAAGGTCATCCAAGGTCTCCTGGGTATCTCGGGAAACTGAGGGCAGTTTTAAATGTTAAATAGCTACTGAATGGTCATCCCTTCTTTGAGGGATCCAAAGTCTTCTAGAATGATACCACATCTTCCCACCATCCATAAGGGAGGACACAGAAACAATTCTGTTGCTGCCACTCCTGGGTCCTGTTGTAAAGCATCGATAATGGGGCCTTTTAAAGTGTCCCCACGCTGCTGAGTAGCAATGATGCAAATGAAAGTTTCTGGTAGAGCTGGGAAGGCCTGAACTTTCCTGAAATGCTGATCTAGGCAGTGATGATTCTAACCCAACCAGGAAATAAATGCAGAGCGAGGCACTGATGTATCTACCCTTCAGCCCAGGTTCACTTCTCACTCCTTACTACTAAACCTGACCCTTAGAAATCCTGGACACTGACTCAGAAAGGGGTTCTGCATGAGGGCTCTGCTCTCATGATCAATGAGGTCACAGAGATTCATCATGAAGGGGCCTGCCCTGGAGGCAGGACCACATGGCAAGCAGGAGCTACTGTTGCAGCTCTGATCCTGACAATCCTTTTCAGCTACAGAACCATAAAGCCTTACCGGTGCCTTAGTTGTCTCTGTAAAGTGGGAAGAATAGTGGAACTTGGACATTTTTGCAGAAGGAACAAAAACAGAATCTGGAGGTGGGCACTGAGTTCTGCATCCACTTGAACTACTGTTCTCTTGTCGCCACCTTCATGGTGGCTGCCACTACCACCCCTGATGTCTCCGTAGGGGCAAGGCAGCCTGCCCTCAACCAAGAAGTGGTGTGAGGCCAGGAAGAGGAAAGCTCCTACGGTCCCTAACAGGCCTGCAGTCCAAGCCCAATGGCCTGCCAGGGCTACCTTTGCTCGGGCCAGCTTGGCTGTGCACACAAGCAGCAACCAAGACTCCCCAGCCCTGCGCAAGCTCTGCACTCCCTGAAGGGGCTGGCCCAGCAACCTAGGAAAGGGCAGAAGAGAAGACAGCAGATAAACACAGAGGAAGGAAAGTGGATGTAAAAGCACAGTCTGGCCTTTTTGAAGAAATTGACAATGTGGCTCTAAACTTATGAAAACGCAAGGCAACCAGACTGGCCAAGATAACCTGAGAAAGAGCAAAACTAAAGGGTTTGCACTTCTTGATTTCACAAGTTCTTATGAAGCTATAGTAATCAAGACAGTAAGGTCTGACATGATGACAGATACATGCACGCTGATATATGCCTATAATCTTAGTGACTTGGGAGGTCGAGGCAAGCGGATCACAAGTTCAAAGCCTGCCTCACCAACTTAGCAAGGTTCTAAGCAACTTAATGTGACCATGTCTCAAAATAAAAAATAAAAAGGGCTGGATACGTGGCTTAGTGGTAAAGTGCCCTGGGTTCATCCTGGTACCAAAACTTAATTAATTAATCAACAGATTAGAATAGAGTCTAGACATACATTTCTGATCAACTGATTTTTTTAACCTAATTTTTAAAAAAATTTATTCTAATTAGTTATATATGACAGAAGAATGCAATTCCATTCATATTACACAAATAGAGCACAAATTTTCATGTCCCTGGTTGCACACAAAGTAGAGTCACACTATTCATGTTTTCATACATGTACTTAGGGTAATAATGTCCATCTCATTCCACCATCTTCTGCCTATCCTCCCTCCCTTCCCCTCCCTCCCCTTTGCCCTATCTAAAGACCCTCCATTTCTCCCATGTTGCCCCCCAACCCCATTATGAATCAGAATCCTTATATCAGAGAAAATATTCAGCATTTGGTTTTTTGGGGATTGGCTTACTTTACTTAGCATTATATTCTTCAACTTCATCCATTTACATGCAAATGCCATGATTTTATTCTCTTTTAATGCTGAGTAATATTCCATTGTGTATATATACCATATTTTCTTTATCCATTCGTCTACTGAAAGAGTATCTAGGTTGATTCCACAATTTAGCTATTGTGAATTGAGCTGCTATAAACATTGATGTGGCTGTGTCCCTGTAGTATGCTGTTTTTAAGTCCTCTGAATATAAACCAAGGAGTAGGATAGCTGGGTCAAATGGTGGTTTCATTCCCAGTTTTCCAAGGAATCTCCATACTGCTTTCCATATTGGCTGCACCAATTTATAGTCCCACCAACAATGTATGAGTGTGCTTTTTTCCCCATAGCCTTGCCAACACTTTTTTATTCTTAATAGCTGCCATTCTGACTGGAGTGGTTTTGATTTGTATTTCTCTAATTGCTATAGATGTTGAACATTTTTTCATATATTTGTTGATTGATTGCATATCATCTTCTTAGAAGTGTCTGTTCAGTTCCTTGGCCCATTTATTGATTGGGTTATTTGGTGTATTTTTGGTGTTAAGATTTTTGAGTTCTTTATATATTCTAGAGATTAGTGCTCTGATATGTGTGTGGTAAAAATTTGCTCCCATCTGTAGGCTCGATAGTCATTTCACTGATTGCTTCTTTTGCTGAGAAGCTTTTTAGTTTAAATCCATCCCATTTATTGAGTCTTGACTTTAATTCTTGCTCAATAGAAGTCTTATTAAGGAAATAGAGGCCTAATCTGAGATGATGGAGATTAGGGCCTACTTTTTCTTCTATTAGTCGCAGGGTCTCTGGTTTAATTCTTAGGTCCTTGATCTACTTTGAGTTGAGTTTTGTGTATGGTGAGAGATAGAGGTGTAATTTCATTTTGTTGCATATGGATCTCCAGCCGGGCTGGAAGCTCCAGCCAGAGCAGTCCCTTCATGAGCACAGTAGAGGGATAAGGACATTAAAGGAACCCATAGTTTGGGAGGCTCAAGGTGTGTCTGGGTACAGAGCAATTAGATATCAAAGACATTGTCTGGCAAACCTGAAGAACTTGCTGCATGATACCCATGTGTACCCATGTGTGGGGAAAGAAGCTGCCATCTCTCTAGGTGCTTGTGGAAGACGAAAAAACCATTTTGCAGCCATTGAGTGGGGGCCCAGCAGCCAAGGGGGCTGATTCCTGGCAAACCCAAGTTTGGCCCCAAATACAGGCCCATTAAACACATGCTGCACCACATAGAGTGTGCTTAAGTTACCAGGAAAAAATCAAACATGGAAAGAGGTTTACACAGGGAACAACTAGTCAAAGAAACCCACCTGGCTCTACCCTCCCCCTACAATCTGACTGTTTGCAGGACCAGCTGAGAGAGATGCATCTGACCAGAAACTCAGAAGGGTCGGGGCACGAAGGGTTGTTTGGAGACCAGGAAATGTGGGGTCTGCAGGTGATGTAGGGGACTAAGGATTGGATCCTCCAGCACAGGAATGGAACCCAGGGGAGATCCTTGGGGTACAGTCTTCCAGCATGGACCAGAAGTACTAGGCGCTGGAGGTGCACTGATTTAAAATCTCCAGACCAGTTAGCAATCAGTAAAGAGCCTGGAGCCCGCCGAAGCCTAAACCTTGCCTCCAGGAACTCCTCCTGGAATCCTAGCAATCAAGAGGGTGGAACATCACACTCCAGAAGATCCACCTAAAACTGCTGAGAAGAGAAGCTGAAAATGTTTTGAACTCCAAGGGAAAGAATTTTTAACTTTTCATCAAGATTTGTTTTTTCTCTCTCTCTCTTTTTTTTTTTTTTAATTCCTTTTCACTGTTTAATTGTGACCTTCAAGGTACATGGACATTTATACAGTCACCTTTTTGTATCTGCTTCTCATCTCTAGAATTTTGGAAGCTAGTTATTTTAAATGGATTTTTTTGTGTGAACTAGCATATTTAGTATATTTTAGTTTTGCTTTGTATTCCTTTATTTTTGTTTTAAATTTTTTTTAAATTTTGGTTTATTTATATATATTTTTTTTTCTTCTGCTTCCCTTGACTCTCACTTTTCTTCTGCTAACAGCCAATCTCTACTGTTTTTATCTTTCACTCTTCCGTTAACCCTTTCCTTCTGTTTTCTCTCCTCCCACATAACCATCACATCCTATATCACTTCTGTTCTCTCCCTGTCCACCATTTGTAAATGTAAACCCTTTTGCAAACTTGCTGTTTTTATTGTAGGCAATAACTGATCCTATCATTTGTTTATTGTGATAATTTACAGCATTAAACCAAATAGTAGGAGCTATTGGTTTAATGCTGTAAATTGTTTGCATGGTTGTTGTTATTATTTTCTTCCCCCAAACAGTGAGGTACTAGAAACCTTCAGGGACACTATAAATACCCAGGGTAGAAACTCTACTGCCTCAGATCCATACTGTTAGATGGGTAGTACACAAACAACATGAAAAAGCAAGGGAACAAATTGCCCCAAACAAACCAAGATACTCCACTAATAGAATCTATCAATCCCACAGTGGAAGAAATGTCAGGAAAGGAGTTTAGCATGTACATAATTAAATTGATCTGCAAAGTAAAGGATGCTGTAAGAGAACAAATACAGGCAGCAAATAATCACTTCAATAAAGAGAGATTCTGAAGAAAAATCAAACAGAAATCCTTGAAATGAAGGAAACAAACCAAATTAGAAATTCAATAAAAAGCATCACCAAAAGACTAGGCCACTTGGAATATAGAACCTCAGGCAATGAAGACGAAATATATAACCTTAAAAATAAACTCGACCAGAGAGAGAAGATGTTAAGAAACCATGAACAGAACTTCCAGGAAATATGGGATAACATGAAAAGACCAAATTTAAGATGTATTGGGATAGATGAAGGTGCAGAGATATAAACCAAAGGAATGCACAATCTTCACAATGTAATAATGTCAGAAAATTTCCCAAATGTAAAGAATGAAATGGGAAATCAAATACAGAGGCTTATAGGACCCCAATGTGTAAAATTACAACAGATCCATATCAAGGCACATCATAATGAAAATACCTAGCAGACAGAATAAGGATAGAATTTTTAAGGGCTGTAAGAGAAAAATATTAGATTATATATAGGGACAAACCAATATGGAGATCAGCTGATTTGTCAACCCAGACCCTCAAATCTAGGAGGTCCTGGAATAACATATATTAAGCTCTGAAAGAAAATGGATGCCAACCAAGAATCCTATATCCAGCAAAATTAAGCTTCAGATTTAAAGATGAAATAAAAACCTTTCATGATAACCAAAAATTTAAGAACTTCACAACCAGAAAGCTTGCACTTCAGAATATTCTCAACAAAATACTCCATGAAGACAAAATGAAAAAAGAAGACCCAGAGAAGGGAAGAACTACACTAAAGGAACAGTCAATCAAAGGAGAAACTAATTCAAATTAAAAACTAGAAATAAACCAAAATGACTGGGAACACAAATCATATCTCAGTAATAACCTTGAACATCCATGGCCTAAACTCATCAATCAAAAGACACAGACTGGCAGATTGGATTAAAAAACAAGGCCCAACAATATGCTGTCTCCAAGACATTCCCAGACTGAAGGTGAAAGGATAGGAAAAAACATATCTTCACATGGATCTTGTAAACCAACAGGGGGATTTCTATCTTCATATTAGATAAAGTGGTTTTCAAGCCAGTATTAATCAGAAGGGATAAAGAAGGCCATTTCATACTGCTTAAGGGAATCATACATCAACAAAACATAAATATTTATGCCTCAAACAATTAAGCATGTACATATATCAAACAAACACTTCTCAATTTCAAGAATAAAATAGATTACAAAATAATAATTCTGGGTGACTTAACATACCTCTCTCACTACTGGGTAGATCCTCCAAACAAAAACTAAACAAACTATAGAACTAAATAATATAATAATTTAGACTTAACAGACATATGTAGAATATTTCATTCATCAATGACTGCTTTCTTCTCAGAAGCACACGGATCCTTCTCTAATATAGACCATGTTGGCATACAATTGTAATATTACCTTAATATACTTTTAGCATCTGTAGGGTTGTTTTGATAGGTCCCTTTCATTGATATTAATTTCTATATTCTTGTTTTTTTCTTGATTAGACTTATTTGATTTTTATCAATGTTTAGCTGTATTATTTCTTCTCTAATTCATATATTTCTTCTCCTACTCTTATTTTTATCTTCCTACTACTTAATTTGAAAATGATTTGTTATTCTAGCTTCTCTCTGTTATAAATATTCATCTGAATACTGTTTCATCCCAGAGATCCTGATATTTTAAGCTTTTATTATCACTGAGTTCAAAGCACTTTTTATTTACTTTTCTTGTGCTTTTTTCCTTGACCTCAGAGATATTTATAAGTGCACCATTTAATTTTGAAATAGTTGATGTAGGGTTCTATATATCTTAAAGTGATTGATTTATAATGTAATAAAACATGCAGAAAACACAGTCCGCCTGATTTCAAATTTTAAAAAAGAAATGCTTTTTATATTGATTTTATTAATTACATACATGTTAAAATTCATCAAATTTCAATTGCATACTTCAAATATGTGCATTTTATTGTACTTTGGTTTTACCTCAATAAAGCTATGGAAAAAAGAAAAAAATATATCTGGGGATGTTGCTGAGTAGTAGAGCACCTCTGGATGCAACCCTCAGTATGTATGTATAAATAAATAAATCTCAAAATGGGTTATAGACCTAAAATGAGAGAAAAACTATAATATAAAACTTAACAGAAAACAGGTGTAAATTTTTGTGACCTGGATTACATAATGGTTTCTTTTTATATTTTTTTATTTTTTTGATACCGGGGTTGAACCCAGGGGTGCTCTACCACTGAGCCACATCTTTAGTCCCTCTCCCTTTTTATTTTGAGACAAGGTCTCATTAAATTGCTTAGGGCCTCACTAGGTTGGTGAGACTAGCTTTGAACTTGCAATCCTTCTGCCTCAGCCTCATGAGCCACTGGGATTACAGACATGCACTATTGCACCTGGCTAGGTTCTTATTTATTAAATAACACTCTCAAGGCACAAACAACGAAAGAGGAAATAAAAAATTTCAACTTCATCAAAATCAAAAACTTCTATGCTTCAATGGTTGCTATCAAGGAAGAGGAAAACCTCAAACACACAGAGAAAATACTTGCAAATCATTTGTCCAATAAAAGTTTAGATGGGCGCAGTGATACATGCCTGTAATACCAGCAGCTCAAGAGGCTGATACAGGAGGATCATGAGTTCAAAGCCAGCCTTAGCAATTTAGCAAGGCCTTAAGCAACTCAGGGAGACTCTGTCTCTAAATAAAATGCAAAAAAAAAAAAAAAAAGTGGGGGTTTAGGATGTGGCACAGTGGTTAAGTACCCCAGGGTTTAATCCCCATTACAAAAAAATAAAAAAAAATAATAAAAGTCTAGCACCCAACATAAAGAACTCCAACACTACAACTCAGCATTAAAAACAAACCAGTTTAAAAATAGACCAAGGATGTGGAGACATTTCTTCAGTGAAGACATACAGGTGGCCAACAGGGGCAAAAAGAGATGCTCGACACTGTCAGCAGGAAATGCATGTCAAAACCACAATATGGTGTTACTTCACACCCACTGGCATGGCTAGACTCAAAAAGAGGGACCACAACAAGCATTGAGGAAGACATGGAGAAGTTGGAATCCTCCTATGTTGCTGGTGAGAACATAAAACAGTCATTTTGCAAAGCACTTGGTGGTTCCTCAAAAAGTTAAGCATAGAAGTGCCATATGACCCAGCAATTCTATTTTTAAGTATATACTCAAGTGAAATGAAAATACATTTGCAAAAATACTCACAGTGGCATTATTCACACAGTCAAAAAGTAGGAACCACCCAACCACCATCAAATGACATATATCCATACTATGGAGTATCATTTGCTATAAGAAAGTAATTAAGTACTGATACATGCTACAACAAAGATTAACCTTGGAAACTTACGCTAGTGGAACAGAGACAAAAGCTCACATTTATCTGAATTGCCAAGAATAAGCAAATTCAGAGACAAATTAGTGTTTGTCAGGGGTCGAGGAAGGGGAAGGCTGGGCATAGCTGCCTAAGGCATACAAGGGTTTTTCATTGGGGAGTACAGGGCAGTGAAAATGTTCTAGAATAGATCATTATGGTTGTGTAACCTTGTGAATATACTAAAAAATCCTCTAAACTATATACCTCAAAAGAGTGAATTTTGTATATGTCAATTTTATCTTAAAAAATATGAAAATCACAGTCTGGAAATTTTGGGGCTGAGTTACCATAAGTGCTTCAATGTCTGGTTGACTTTCAGCATTTCTGCAAAGCTCTCGGCCACTTCATCATTGAGTTCATTTTGGGTCAGCCTAGAAAAGAGAGGAAGTGATTACTCAGGAGGGTTGAATTGGAAGACATTGTTAGTGAGTTCACAGAAGCCAGAACCAGGCCTGGGTCTCTCCAGCTCTGCAGCTAGTTGCTTGCTGAGAAGGCAGCAGAGTGCAGGCTCCTAGCAGCCCTCCACCCCACACATATATGGAAACTCATTTCTAGTGCAGGTCCTGCTCTGAGTTCCCACTTAGTAGCCCCCTGCCTGCCCAGGAGCCTGCACTCCTCACCATCACTGAGCCTCCAATTTCACAGAAGAGAAAGCCAGAGAACCAGGGCCAGGGCCTGGACTTGGGTCTCCTCCAGCTCCAGGACCCAGGAACATCACTGACAGATTCTTGTCCAAGTCAAGATGAAAACCTGGGGAAACCCACCAACTGCATGGTAAAGTGTGCTCAGTGCTGTGCTCTGAGGCCAGTGGCAAAGGACCCAGGTTCAGTGACTGAAAGTTCAGGAAGCCTCTCAATTGCTCTTAAAACCAGCAGTGGTCTGCACAAGCAAAGGAGTTCACGATGTAACTAGGGTCGGACCCTCTTTTTCAGTGGATGAAGGAATAATGAGGATAATGGAATAGTATACTGTTTTAAAAAGTCTTCCCCTGAAGGGCCATGTGATCACTATCCAAATCTTTTTTTTTTTTTTGGTTGGGGGGAGTACTGGGGATTGAACCTGGGCACTTGACCACTGAGTCACATCTCTAGCCTTATGGGAACTCATTTATTTAGAGACGCAGTCTCACTGAATTGTTAGGCCGGCTTTGAATTCTCTATCCTATCTCAGCCTCCTGGGCTGCTGGGATTACAGGCATGTGACACCGCATCCATCACTACCCAAATCTTAAATGTATTTCCCTTAAGACAAAAGTCAGGTGCAAAGATATGTACAGCAGACCTTTCTACCTTGCAGTGTACACTGTGATATTAGCTGTCAAAATGCAAAACTGGAATAATTTAAAGAACTGGTAAAATAATGAACATCTATGGAACATTGTGTAGCCTTAGAGAGAGTGAGATAGATTGAACAAAGAAGATGGCAGAGGGCACAGTATTTGAATGCTCTTACCAGGCATGGTGGCACACAATGTAATTCCAGGGTCTCAGGAGGCAAGGCAGGAGGATGGCAAGTTTGAGGCCAGTCTCACAACTTAATGAGTCTCTGTCTTAAAATTTTCATTTATTTGTTTGTTTGTTTACCTATTTATTTATTTATTGAGACAAAAATCTGTTTTATTTTACATTTCCCTGATTGCTAGGGATGTTGAACATTTTTTCATACAACCATTGACTATTTGTATTTCTATTTTGAGAAATGTCTGTTCTTTTGGCTATTTATTGATTGGTTTATTTGGATTTTTATATTAAGTTTTTTGAGTTCTTTATATATTCTGGATATTCATCCCCTGTCAAGGGAGTAGCTGGCAAAGATTTTCTCCCATTCTGCAGATTCCCTCTTCACACTCCTGTTTCCTTTACTGTACAGAAGCTCTTAAATTTGATTCCATCTCACTTATTGATTCTTGGTTTTATTTTTTTGAATTTTAGGTATCTTGTTAAGGGAGTTAGAGACTGCAAAAATGTGTTGGGATGACTATGTTTTCTTTTAGCAGTTGCAAAGTTTATCATCTAATTTCTAGGTCTTTGACCCATTTTAATTAAACTTTTGGGCAGGGCGAAAGATCGGGATCTAGGTCCATTCTTCTACATCCAGTTTATCCAGTACCATTTGTTAAAGAGGCCATCTTTTCTCCAACATATGTTTTTGGCACTTTCACTGTGCCCAAATGAAATTATTGTATAATGTGGGTTTGTCTCTTTATCTTCTATTCTATTTCACTGGTCTTCATGTTTGTTCGTTTGTTTTTAGTTGTAGTTGAACATAATAACTTTATTTTATTTATTTTTCTATGTGGTGCTGAGGATCGAACCCAGTGCTTCTCACATGCTAGGCAAGTGCTCTACCACTGAGCCACAACCCCAGCCCTTCCTGTCTGTTTTGATGCCAATACTATGTTGTTTTTGTTACCAAAGCTCTGTAGTATTATTTGAGATCAGGAGCGAAACCTAATGTCATAAAGGGACATGTCAAATATGTACAACAGACAGCTAAGATATTTTTAAATCCATTTGCTAAATGCTCTTCTACTTTGTATGTATTTGAATATATACAGAAAAATGGTTAGAAAGAAAAAAGTCATATTTAGAAAATATAAGAGAGGTAGTTTCAGTTCCTACTTTCAAACTTTCATCCAATATTTTCAGTCATACTTGTTTTTTCTTCAAAAAAAAAAAGCATATGTTACTTTTCAAAATGTTCAAAGATTTTTTTGAGGGAAAAGAATTAAAAAATGCATTTACTGTCCAGTAGATCTAGCATCAGAACACTCATAAAGACAACACTGGCATTATTTTCGGTAAACATCTGAGCAGAATCTAATACTGGGCCCTGGGTGGATGAAATAGAGGGTGTAATGCAACCTGCTCACCCATAAGGAATTTATGATACAGGAAAGTAAATAAAGGAACAACAAAAAGCACTCTCAGGTGGCACCATCCACTTAGTAAGTGCCCTGGAGTGCAGGGAGGAAGAAGCCAGGACTGGGGCTTCCAGTGACAGGTGATGGGTGACAGGTGAACAGGGGCACTGAAGGCCAAATGCTGATGCAGAGACCTGGGAAGGCAGGAACTGGACCCTGCTAGGCATATGGAGGATGTTCTGGGGGGATTCCTGGCAGTTCCAGTGGCCAGCCTTCTGGTTCTCCTGAGGCCAAGGATGGTAAAAAGGATAAGACCGTAAACCCATAAGTTGCAGGCCCATTTCCCCAGCTGTTTCTGAAAACAGCTGTTTTTCTTCTCTGGGAGGAAATTAAATGAGCCATTGCAATTGAGAGGCACCTTTTCAGTAAAGATTCCAGGCTGTGTGTAAGCAGTCCCTGGAACAATTACCACGGCCCAACCCTTCAAAATGACTGGCCATTACCAGAATATCTTCAGTGTCGTATTCTGCTGCAGGGCCCTGGCAAGGCTCTTTCCTCCTTCCGTGGAGATACAGTTGGCTGCAAGACTAGGAAGGAAAACAACTCATTAGAGACAGGTTCACATTTGGCCTTGGCGTCAATACCGAAACAGTGGGGAAGCCTCGTCTGGATGTGGCACCTTCCAGGCCAACCTGGGGCAGCACGTGGAAGAGCTCAGTCATGTCAGCGGCCGCCCAGGCCTTGCTGCTAAAGAGCCACGCTCAGGATCTGAGGACAAGCACAAGACTGAAGACCAACTTCTCCAGCAGTGTCCAGACAGGTAAAGGACATAGAACTCAGGTTTTTACACGCAGACTAGAGGCTGAGGAGGCCAGGGCACTCTGCCACATTTGCGGGCCCCATCAATGAGAACCTAAGAAGTTTCTCCGGCTATTACTCCCACCGTCTTGGACTCCCTTCAATGGCAGTTGGGACAGAGGCAGAGCTTGGGAGACACCAAGGCTCCAGGATTAGGCCACAGGCCTGAAGGAGGGATGGGAAAGGGGAACTCCAATTCCAGAGGGGAGGGGTCCCCTCTGTCCCAGCACCATCATGAGGGAAAAGGGGCAGGAATCTATCAACTAGCATTCCTTTCAGTTTTATCTAGACTTAGGAATTCCTCCCTGACCTCCAACGGCACTTGAATGGCTGCAAAATGTCACATCTTGATCTAGTTGGTGGCTACATTGGTGTGAGTCTGCTAAAATCCTTGAGCTGAACACTTAAAAATAATGTACTTTATTGTTTCCCTCTTGCACCTCAAGAAAAAAAAATTAGAGAAAGAAAAAGTCACACCAGCAAATCCCTGCCAAATTTGGAAATCCACCAGCCCTCTCCCCGCCAGCTCCTCCCCTGGAGAGCTCAGAATGGCCAGGATCCCTGTGGGCCTTGGAGCCCCAGGCACAGCTCTTACCTTAGATTGCTCAGGCTGGGGTGGTTCTTCAGAGCCTCTGCGAAAGCTTTGGCTCCTTCATCCCCTATTTGATTGCCCCACATCCTAAGGAAGAGATAGATAGCTCAAGTTAGCTCCTCCCACTCGGCCAGGCTCCCCCTTCTTTTCTGTCAGTACAGGCAGCTGTTTCACTCAGTCCCTGGAGCTGTGGCCTGGACACCTATTTCTCATGTTGGCCCCTAATGGACTGCTCTGGATTTCCAATGCAAGGGAGAAGCATAGAGAATAAAGAGCCCCGGGCACAGTGGTGCACCCTGTAATCCCAGCCGCTCAGGAGGCTGAAGCAAGAGGATTGGAAGTTCAAAGCCAGCCTCAGCAATGGTGAGATGCTAAGAAATTCAGTGAGACCCTGTCTCTAAATATTTAAAAGGGTTGGAGATGTGGCTCAGTGGCTAAGTACCTCTGATTTCAACACCTGGCACCAAAAAAAAAAAAAAAAAAAAGAGAGAAAGAGAGAATAAACAGCAGTGGAGACCTTGTGAACAGATATTGTCAATCAGGAAGTTGCACAATTAGAGACCAGGTCTCACTGCAAAGTTTTGGAGAGCTGCCAGTTGAGAGTCTCAGCTCCTGCATGTCACCTTCAGAGTACAAAAGTCCATGCTGGCCTGAAAGGACAGCCATGTGCAACACTGAGTGGTGCAAGCAGCACCTGCAAAGTGTCTTCAGGATGCAAGGGTCAGGACCCCTGGGCACCAACTGCACCAGCAGCACTCTTTGTATGTAGAGAGGAATGTCAGGAAGTCAGGCACCAAGGTGGTGGGCAGCTGCAACAATGAAGCTGACTTTTGTCCCCAGAATGGGTGATCTGAGATCTGGCTAACATGGTCTGCATGGTAAGGTGCCAGTCTCCCATCCTGGCTCTGCCACCTACTACCTGTGGATCCCTGGGAAAATGACATAACACAGTGGACCAATGTTGAGAGCCACAGCCGAAGGGGCCTCAGCAAACTTCCAGCTGCCAGCTGATGACTGGCTCACAGCGGCCCCAGCAAACTTCTAGCTGCCAACTAATTGGCTCCTCTGCGGTGATGCTCATTGGGCTGTTTCCCCGCCCTTTCAGACCACGGACCTACTCATTGGGGGACTTTTTTTTTGGCTCCGCCCACGTGACCCAGCCAATCGGCCTCAAGAGCCTGAGGAGTGGGGGAAGTTGAGACGCTTGTGAGAAGCCGGTGGTGGCAGTTTGGCTCTGAGGGTTTTTCCTGAGGAGCTGTGTGGTGTGGTGTGTGTGTTCTAAAAATAAAGTTCATTTCTTTTGACAAGTGGCTCCTGAATTGTGCCCAGCCAGACTGCGGCAGCTAACATGGTCTGCATGGTAAGGTGCCAGTCTCCCATCCTGGCTCTGCCACCTACTACCTGTGGATCCCTGGAAAAATGACATAATACGGTGGGCCTCAGTCTCCTCATCTGTAAAATGGGTATGATAAGAGCATTCCCTCATAGAGTGGTTGTGTGTGAGGATGTGTAAGTTAACATACGCAAAGCATTTAGAACACCATCCGGCCTGTAAAAAACGTTAGCTATTCCTAATAGGACAAGGGGCCTCCATTTACAGAAAGCAGTCTGCCCGGCCCACTCACAACACAACCATGGCTGCCTCAACAACAGGTCCAGCAGCTGCCTGCCTGCGTCCTTCCAGGCAAGGCCTGCTGCTGCCCCTGAACAAGAGTTTTAAGTTTTTGCTTAAAAAATGCAAAACTATACAACTGAATGGTATCAAATGTTTAATAAGGTGGCAAACTACTCATGACCTGAGAGTAAGTGAAAAATGAAGGATAAAATTCTGTACGTGTAGTCTGACCTCTACCCTGTTAAAAAAAATAATAGTGGGGGAAAGAGAAAGTGGGAGTGCTTCAATAGTCTCAAATGCTACCAGTAATTATTTCTGAAAATAAAATTACTTTTTATATTTTCCACAGTTTTAAAATTACCATTATTTTTATAATCCCATAGAATTATAATGATACAGTTCAGAAGCTTCTTAACCTCAATGAGATGCCACCTGTCATCCACTAGGATGGCAGTTACTATTAAAACAAGTGTTGGTGAGGATGCCGGGGAGCAGGATGGGAATGTAAGACGGAACAGGCACCTGGAGAACAGCACAAGGGCTCCTTGAGAAATTAACAATAGAATCATCACAGAATTCAGCATTTCCAAAAGAATTAAAAGCAGGATCTCAAAGATTATGTCTTTGTATGCCTTTGTTCATAGGAGCCTTATACACAATAATTTGTGGCAGTTAAATATGGAAGCAACCAAATGCTTGCTGCTGGATGGGTGGATGAGCTATCCCGTCAAAAGCCTCAGCTCCTGACTGTCTCAGAAAGGAACTACCCGCGTGTCACCTTCAGGGTACAAACATACATACAATGGAGCATTATTCAGTCTTAAAAAGGAAGGAAGCGCAGGGCAAAGTGATCCACGCCTGTAATCCTAGAGGCTCAGGAGGCTGAGGCAGGAGGACCTCAGAGATGGTGAGGCACTAAACAGCTCAGGGAGACCCTGTCTCTAAATAAAATACAAAATAGGGAAGGGGATGTGGCTCAGTGGCTAAGTGCCCCTAAATTCAATCCCTGGTGTGCCCCCACACACATCAAAAAAAAAAAAAAAAGGAAGGAAGCTGGCGTGTCACATGACCAACCTTGAGAATATCATGTAAGCTGCAATAAGCCATCACCAAAAGACAAGCACTATGTGATTCCATTTACAGGAGGTGCCCAGAGTAGTCAAATTCAAAGAGACAAAAAGCAGAGCGGGGGGTTGCTAAGGGCCAGGGGAGGGAGGAAAGGAGAGTTACTGCTTAATGGATGAAGAGTTTCAGTTTTGCAAGATAAAAAGAATTTTGGAGATGGATGGTGGTGATGGTTGCGTAATGATATGAAAGTACTTAATCCCACTGAACTGTACAATTAGCAATGGTGAAGATGGTCAATTTTATATATATTTTACCACGATTTAAAAAATTGAAAGAAAAAAAACCTTCAGAGGATAGATTTCCTTAAAGTAAGAGCATCTGCCTGTGTTAACCATCACATAGAGCTAGAATAACTCCCTCCATTTGCTGGTGGCAATAATGCTGAGTTTGCATGAGTTAATTAGAAAAGTCTGTGCAGTCAGATTTATAATCAACCCTGGGTCTTCCCACACCATTTCCATGAAGAAGCTGCTGGTACATCTCTGTTTCTGCCTCCTCACAGCCAGACCCAGCAGTCCTGCTACATTGATGTACAAAAGACCATTGGGCACCCACATACACCCAGCAGGTCACACACCCCTTGTGTGTGTCCCTTTCTACTCACCCAATCTCAGAGATGGATGTACTGTTCTTCACAGCCAGGGCCAGCCACTTCCCTCCTTCGCTAGATATCTTGTTTTTCCCCAGTCTGCAGAAAATCCCCGCACAGTCAGCCTCCAGCTGTGTGGTAGGGACTCCAATACGGGCCTCCCTCCTCCCCGGCATGGAGCCCCTCCCAGCCCCTCTTGCCAGTCTGTTCCTGCTCCTGGGATGTACAGCAGCCAAGCCCTGGGCCTCCTCTTAAGAAATCACCTGAAGCCTTGGGGATAGCCAGTCAGGGCTCCTCTGCAGGGGATGGCCCACAATCTCTGCAGAAAGTTAGTGACCTGAGCCCTCCTGGGCTTCTTTACATGACCTCGGGACCATCCATTCCACCAGGAGGCCTGGAAGTGCCCACTTCAATTGCTCATGCTCAAGGGGTGCTTCCATCGCCAGGTGGAACAAGGCACTCTGTCACCTTTGGCAGGGCATTTCTATGACAGGGCCAAGGATCAAGCTCTGGCTTGCCATCACATGGTAAGTTCCCTGAGGGTGGAGACAGATCTTTTTCTCTGGTATTCGAGAAAGGGCGATAGGTCTTTCTGCTTGGTCAGTCTTTAATGAAATTGAAGTGCCAAGCTTTCCCTGCCTCCTGCCCCCTTCCCTCAGCTGGCTGTCCCTTCCAAAATCTGAGCCTCTCGCCTGGTCATGCTTTCTCTGCAGAACAAGCTCACTTTCCACACAACAGGTCTCCTGCATTTGACCAGTATGGTCCTGGGGCAGGCAGAAGACTTGAGGATAATAGCTGTTTACAGTGACATTTATTCTTCTAATAACGGAAGGGTTACCCAAAGAATCGAAGAAGAAAAGAAGCTACTAAGGAACTTCACACCAGACCCCACTTACTTACTTCAGGTGGGTGAGGGCCTTGCATTCATCCAAGATTTGGGCGACGTACCTGGCTCCCACATCTGTGATCTGGTTGTTGTATAAACTTGAAGAGAAAGCACAGTCCGGTCACTTCATGACTCCCAAGGTCATATGAACACCCTTTCATGTGTGCTGCTTACTGAGTTTCAAAGTGTGTTGAAAGGACACACAGGACTGTGTGGTCTCAGCCTGGCTTCAAGACCAGCTCCGCCACTGGCCGCCTCTGCCTCAGTCTCTCTGTCTATAGTGGGGGTGACAATCATAGCTCCTCATGGGGTTGGTTGTCATGAGGAGCATGCGACATGGTGCAAAGCCCTGGCAGGGAAGTGCCTGGTTCACCAAGCCATTCATGTAAATGATGATATGTCCATCAGCACACAGTCAGTCTCTTGAGGAGAAGTTTCTCTCTGAAGACATTCTTTCTGAATGACTAAGAGGCAGGCACACAGAACCTTCTCTATGTTTACCTCTTAGTCATTTTACCACTCAATTCCAATTCAGCAATAAAGCTGAGGCTTTGAGGACCCCATTGTCACACAGCATTCCTGAGTGGAGAGAGAGGTGGCCCCGGGATCATCTGCTTCACTGTCCTCGTTCCATGAAGGAGCTGACTGAGGCCCAACACAGCTGAGCAACCACTTGCGCTCATGGAGACAGTGGTAACCTGGGTGGGATGGGGTGGGGTGGGCAAGATCCCTTATCTCAAACTCCACAATCCCAAAGGCTCTGAAAACCTAAAGTGTCTCATAGTTGTTTTGGCAACCGATGTGAACCTATTTATGATCTCTATTTACCCTACTTGGTCTGAACATTCACACATTTCTCTGCAGAAATATCAAGGTAAAGGATAATGGGGTGCTGCCCTGGACCCCTCTGGCCATGTCACTACTACAAAGCAAATACACCGAACCCTGATCCTTGGCTTGACCCAAGGGTTCTGGAGGAGGGATTATGGACTCACAGTATGAAAATCTAATACATAAACAGTATTTTTTTTTTTGGCGGGGGAATACTGGGGATTGAACTCAGGGGCACTCGACTACTGAGCCACATCCCCAGCCCTATTTTGTATTTTATTTAGAGATAGGGTCTCACTGAGTTGCTTAGTGCTTTGCTATTGCTGAGGCTGGCTTTGAATTTGCAATCCTTCTACCTCAGCCTCCAGAGCCACTGGGATTATAGTCGTGCGCCGCTGTGTCTGGTCACAAACAGTATTTTAATGTTTACGAAACTTACCCCCATGTATTTCCTCTTAGCATCTTTCAATAACCAGGTATTAGATGACCTGCATGGATTAGGATCCCCATTTATAAGTGAGGAATCTGAGGCTCAGCAAGAATTCAGTCTGAGACAGAAACAGATCCCAGGCACTTGCCACCCACCGCCCTGATCCTGGCCAACCTGCTGGGGACCCATATGGATGGCAACTTCGGCTACTTAGTATCATTACTAAGTAGTTGGCCCAGTGTTCCTGAGAAAGACATACCCCAAATACTCCAGAATTTTGTACTTGGTCAGCTCTTCACACAGCACCTTCACACCACTATCTGTGATCTGGTTGACACTGAGTCTGAAACACAACAGCAAAGACAATGACAAATTTGGGCAGTTTCTAAATCAGAGGGAAGAGGCTGGGGTCAGCAAACCTCTATAAAGGGCCAGTGAGCAAATGTTTTAGGCTTTGCAGCTGGTTCCCAGCCCCACCACTGCTTCACTGTCCTCGTTCCATAAAGGATCTGACCAAGGCAGTAAAGCAGCCAGTAAGTAATCAAGTGGTATTTTGTGGGAAGCCGTTCTCGCACGTGATTGGGCACCTCCCTGACTGGGTGTGAGGTGTTCTGGCCAAGCTGTGTCAGAACTAATCCCCACCCTTTTTAGGTGCAAGAGCCCATCCGTGTGGGGTGTGATTGACCATTGACCCTGAGACCAGTCACTGACCCTGACCTTGGAATGCTGTCCCCCTCAACCTTCATTGGATGGAATTTTCCCCTGAATTTCTTGTTCCCCAATAAAAGGCCACTCCCTGGTGTGCCCTTCCTCTCTCCTGCTAGTCTCTTGTGTAAACCTCACTACCCCACCAGGTGGCTCGAGGCAGGAGCCAGAGGGGGCCGTCTCTGACCTGGTCAAGAAAAAGTAAATTGAGTTTATGTGTGTTTATTTTGATCTCACTAGTTAAATTCTATGCTTAGGACCTCTAGTATGAAGCTAGCGTGCTGGTCGCGCGGCAGAGTGTGGCTGGGCTCTAATAAAGCTTTATTGACAAACACAAGCCATAGGCCGAATTTAGTCCACAAGCTGACTTCTGTAATAAATTAAAGGCCAAACAGGTAAAAGCTTGATTTTTAGGCCACATCAAAATGATCAGGTCAGACACTCCAGACCCTTACCTGTAGCCAGATTGGTGGTGGTGTACAGTGTGCACATGTCCTGTATGATCATCCCAGGTTGACAGAGGCTATTAGTCACTTCCAGTGTCTATGCTTTCTTAGCAATAGAAACCTCCCTCCTTTTTTACTTGACATATACAATTCAATTCTACCAGTGAAATTGAAGAAACAGTATCATTAGCAGTAGTTGAACAGTCCTTTTAAAATAATAAGGTTTGCTCTTTTTAGCCTTTTCCTTTGTCCTGGTGGCTAGACTGCTGACTGGAGCATGGGTAGCCATGTTGTGTTAAAGCATAGAAGCGAGATAGTGAGAATGGCATTAGAACAAGGCAGAAGAGAACCTGGGCTCCTGATGGTTATGGAGACACTATACCAGCTCTGTATTACCTACCTCTAGCCTTTGCATAAAAAGAGAAATAAGCTTAAAACTTATTTAAGACATCAAGATTTTGTAGTTTGTCTAACTCTCCAGCTGAAATGAATCCTATCGGGTACTCTCGGGGGAAATCAGAGAGCTTCCCCGTAGTCGCCCATAGTCTCCTACTTTCCTGTGAGCTGTTTTTCCTTTCCTGGGGACAGCAGAATGGATCAGGACCACCACACTGCTGCCAAGTCTCTCTTTCATAGGATGGGTGCAAGGTGGCGCAGGATGACAGATTGCCAAAGGCTGCAGAAGAGAGAGCGGTTGGCTGCTAGGGCAGAGGACAGGTTCCAGGCTTTCAATTCCCAGGCCAGGGAAGCCTGCAGCTCCTGGCACTCCATGTGCCCACACAGATTCCTCTCTGGCACCAGTACATCAGGCCCTGGGAGGCAGGTGCAAATCCCCACTGCTCTTCAGAAATACATGAGCCAAGTAATAGAGAATTCCAGGCTGGTAAGACTGACAAGGTTTGTTCTAAGCAGGAAATGCTAATAGACAAGAGCAGACTGGCCTCTTTCCTGAAAACCCTCAAATGGAAAAACTACCATGTGGCAGAATTTTCACCAAGCAAATAGGGCTGCTGATTTGACCATGAAAGGCAACTCATGCCAAGCAGCTCCAGGTCTGCTTTCTCTGCAGTCACGAAACCTCCCTCATGCCAGAAACTTTTCACAGGCTATCTCTAATCCTTCAATTGGTCTTAAAAGATAGCTTCTTTATGCCATCTTTATTCTGGCTCTACCCTGTCTCAGCTATGTGATCTGAGTCAGTAATTATCTCCTCTGTGCCTCTGTTTCCTCATTTACCCAAACGGAGACAATGATAGTACCTACTTTATAGAGTGAAGAGCATTAAATAAGGTAATATTGGTAATGTGCTTCACCCAACCTCAATAAACTAAGTTGTTCTTACTGTGATTGCTGGGATTATGAGCATCTCCTCTTTCCAGAGGAATTCACCAAGGCTCAGAGAGGCTAAGCAGCTTGTTCAAGTGCACCCAGCTGGGGAGGACCAGTTCTGACTCTCTTTAGTCCTTGCCCTCTGTCACCCTGAAAGAAAGTCCAGATGTTCCAAGACCAGTGACTGTGAGTTCTAGGGGACAACAGACTAGGGGATCCTGACCAGTGATGCCAGTCCTGGCCCCATTCCAAGCCCCACCCCACCCTGACCTGATAACGGTGAGGCGGCTGAAGCAAGGCTGCAGCTCCCGCACACCATAGTCGTTGAGATTGTTGTTGTCCAGATCAAGGGCAAGCCGCTTGCGGGAGTGGTGCAGGACGAAGGAAAGGGCACTGCAGTCAGCGGAGCAGGCATTGCAGAAGGTCAGCTTGAGGTAGTTGGCGCAGATGCCCTTGGCCGCCAGCTGCCCCACCTTCTGGCTCTGCGTCTCATAGATACAGCGCAGCATCCAGAGGAAGGTGGGCATGGCCTGCACTTGGCTGAAACCCCCGGAATGACACCGGGGCAGGCTCTTCAGGTAGGCGCGCAGGCTGGCAAACAGGTGCCCCCACAAGGCCTTGCGCTTCCTCCGCAGGGTGGCAGCAGGCACCAGGTGCTGCAGGAGTTTCTGTCTGGCTTTGGACAACAGCCCGCACAGGAAGAGGTTGGTGAACTGAAAATGATCCTTGTTTTTGAAGGGATCAGAACGTGCCAGCCTGCCGCCCCCGAAGCACTGGAAAGGAAGGAAGGGAGGATAGCAGGACTCTACCGCTGCCTCTCCAGGAGGCGCCCACTCTTGAAAGAACCTGAGCAGCTCCCGGTGTCCCACCTTGTTGTCCACCACGAGAAAAAAGGCGGTAAAGAAGGCCTGGAGGGTGATGTGGAAAAACTCATAAGACTGCTGTCCCCCTTCAGGGGTCATTTCTGGCACGGCCCTCAGGAAGCCCAGCTGCAGGTCCCCCTCCTGCAGCTCTGAGGCCTGCACCTCCTCCTGGGTGAACACGAAGAGGCTCCTCTCCATGCCGCTGTGAGCCACCTGCCCCAGCGAGCGCAGTGTGCGCCAGCCCGCGCTGAAGGTCTCGGCCGGGCTGCGCGTGTTGCGCTGCACCAAGCTGCTGGGCTGCGTCCTGTTCAGATGGACCTCGGTGACCAGCAGGAAGACGTCGGTCAGGGTCACCGTGCATTCCGAAAGTTGCGGGGAGCCTTCGAGGGTGGTGTAGAAGTGCTGGAAGCACCGGAAGATGATCCAGCAGAAGAGAGGCACGGTGCACAGGCTGCAGAGGTTGGGGTTGGCCTCCAGCTGCTGCAGCAGGCGGTCCTGCGCAGGGCGCTCAGGGAACATCTTCCGGGCATAAGTCTGCAGGTGGCTGGGGGAAAAGCCCCGGAGAAGCACCTTCTTCCGCAGGAGCTGGCGGGGCACCTCGACACCCGTGCGGGCCGTGAGCAGCTTGCTGGCGCCCTTGAGCAGCCTTCCGCTGAGCAGGTTGGCCAGCAGGACCAGCGGGTGGGCGGGCTCCCAGGGGCAGCAGCTGTCAGGCACTCGGCTCAAGTCGAAGTCCGAGTGCAGCTCGTCCAAGCCATCGAAGGTGAAGAGGGCCACGTGGGGAAAGCGCAACAGGAAAGCAAACACCTCATCGGGGTCCTGCTCCGGGTAGCAGTAATGCTTGAAAAGCAGGTCCTGCAGGCACAGCGTGTCACTCTCCTTGAAGCAGCTGAACATGCGGCAGCGGAAGTGGAAGAAGAACTTGACCCCTGTGTCCAGCCGGCCTGAGGCCCAGAGGCTCTGCAGCCGCTGCAGCAGCATGGATTTGCCCACACCCGCGTCCCCGAACACGAAGATGGTCTCGCCCTGCTCGTTGAGGACGCCTGAGCTGTGGTCCAGGAGGCAGGACAGGCTGCCCAGGCTGCCCAGGTTCTCGTTGCTGAAGCTCACCAGCTCCATGACGGTATCCATGTAGATCTCCTCCAGCAGCAGGTCCTCCTTTTGGGCATAACACAGCATGAATTTGGAGTCACAACCCAATTGGTGCCGCAGCTTCTGGGTGTACCTGCTCACTGGAGAGACGGGTGGCAGGCACATGTCGGGGTGAGAGGCAGAGAGAGAGAGGTGGAAACCACATCAAACAGGGAGATATCAAGGAGGAAAGGCAAGCCCTCAAGCAAACCAAACACCCCCCAGGGCCCCTGGGGTGCTCAGTGCAGGCATTCCTCAATACTGGCCCTCTGAAACCTGGAAGAGCCCACACTCCAGAAACTGAGCATCTCCAGGTTTCCATCCCTCTGCTTGCCTTCCTTTTTAGCCCCGCTAGAGGGCGACACATTTCAACTGGGATCAGAGTCTGAGATAGGCCTCTTGTTCCTCTGCAGTGTTGTCACTGAACTCTAGCTGAAGACAGAAGCCCCTACACTGGAGGGCCAGGCCAGATGGCCCTGCTTCCCTGCCCCATCCCTCAGCCTTGTTCAAATACCACGAGCCAGTTCCCATTGGAAATTTCACTGTTAAAGAAAAAATGACCCTGACCTTTCTTTTGCTTGCAACATAGCTGTTAAAGCAGCTGGTCTCAAAAGCCAGAGGCCAAAACTTTTTATACAATGATGAACATTATGGTTTACAAAGGAGCCGCGTGCCTCACCTAAAATACCACAACTAGTACACTAAGATGAAGGCAGCACCAGCCCTGGCGCCCAAGCTGTGGGCCTTGGGTTACCAATGTTTGGCATAACGACTGGGTAAGGTCTGAGCAGCCCACAGGGGCAGAGATGCTCACATGGGTGCCATGCTCCCAGCAAACCTGAGTGACAAGAATGAGACTTAATGCCACAAAGCAAGTGGTTCTTCCCCGAACAAAAGGCTGTTCCCTACATTCCTTTATAATAGTCTTAATTATAATTCAATTAGCCAAAATTGGGTACCCACGTATATTTCCAGATTCATCTCCAATCCTTTTCCCATCAACTTTCCAACTTGGTTGCCTATTTAATATTTGTGAAGTGAATTGTATTTTGTTTACCACTTTATTGAAGTGTAATTTATATACCACAAATTTCACTCACTAGTGTTATAGACTTATCATTGACTTTTACAAGTGTATAAAGTTGTGCAAACATTAGCACGATCCAGTTCTAGAATACATCCATCGCACTCCTGAAGATTTTTCATGCCTATTTGCGGCCAATCCCTGCCCCCACCTTTACTGCTCTACTTTCTTTCTAAATCGGCTTTTCCTATGATTTTAGTCTTTTGCATGCAGCTTCTTATAGAGTGAATTATACTTTAAAGGCTAGGAAATAACTGGCTAAAGGAACCAATGGAGAAGTCCTTTGAGAGGACTACTCACCATGGAATATTTTTCCTTTATTCATAGGGGAAGGAGCAATAAGAGCAAAACGCTGGCTGTGGATGGCAGCTACAGGAGCAAGTCCATCCCTGGCCCTAAAAGTCTGCTTGTTGGCCATTGGCCTTGTTCTCCCTAAACATACACCTGGCTCTCTAGGTATGTTCTTTGCTTCTGTTTCCAAGGTCAAACTATCTTTTTTTTTGGTACTGACATTAAATTAAGGGGTGCTTTACCACTGAGCCACATTCCTAGTCCTTTTTATCTTTTATTTTGAGACAGGGTCTCGCTAAATGGCTAAGGCTGGCCTCAAACTTGCAATCCTTTTGCCTCGGCCTCCCAGGTGTCCAGGATTACAAGCATGTGTTACAGTGCCTAGCAAGAATTAAATTAATTTTATTATCTGGTGCTATTCCAACTTGAGGTGGAATACGAGACTGACTTTTATGCCCACTTGGGTCTCAGTGCTACAGCATTTCCAGACCCACTGTCCTTGTGCACAGGTGCCTGTAGTCACCCTGGAGCTGACTCATACCTGGGTCGGTGTTGACAATAGTTTTGCTCTGAATGAGCTGGGAAGGAGAGTAGCAGATCTCCAATAGCCACGGCCTGAGGTCCACATAAGCATCTGCAAGTTGCTGGAGCACGTAGAGGAAGAACTCAGAAACCTCCTCACCCTTGCTCTGGACCAGGTCCAGAAGTTTTCGGACCTGGTGGCAGCACAAGCAGAAGGGTTATGAGCTGGCACGAGGGGTCCTTCCTGACAGAAAGATACCTCGGTGGGCTTAGTTCAGGGCTCTGAGCTCTTACTAAGCCAATATGAAAATCTGATGCATTAGAAGCCTAGCATCTTCTAAATTGATCTTCTTGGCAAGAGGCAAAACTGGGAAGCTTCCATGAGCCTAAAAATAAAAAAGTTTAGACTCACGACTAGAACCATATCCACCCATGGAATTCTCTGTCTGCTTTCCCTGGGGATTGAACCCAGAGCTTCATACATAGAAGGCAAGTATTCCACTACCAGGCTGAATCCCGGCTTTTTATCTTAACCTAGCACTATTGCCATCAGGAATGATTATGGAGAGGGAAAAAATCACCCTGAAGCCTAATGAGGCGGCAGCTGGGCCATGCAGCAAGAGGGTAACAGACCCCCATATGTATTATATGTTTTAAGTAGCCTTTTTTTTTAATTAAAAATGCAGGGGGAAAATAAGTGTGCTACGGAGTTTCAAATAAGTTCTGTCATTCCTTTAAGTGAGACGGAGTTATGGGTCTCAATTCTATTTTTTCAGAAGGTAACACCAAACTTAGGTGAAACTAGTTGCTGCTACATTGTCTACAATGGAACGTGGAGACCTCCTCCTTGGGGAACCACCTTGGATGTAGTCCTTCCTAAACACAAGGCCATGTCCATCCTGAGTCCTAGCCTGCTACCAGCAGCCCATAGGGCTTCAAGGCACAGAATGACCATCACTGCTAGTGTTCTGTGCTCATCTGCTTTTTCTCTCCCATTCATTTAAAGTGGATTTAACCATAAGTTGTCTGGAACCAATATATATGGCAATGAAAGCTAGATCTAAGAGCTTGCTCCAGCCACAACCACGGAACTGATATGCATAACCATGAAAAGAACCCAATAATTGGAGCACTGACGCTCTAACAAGACCTCAGCATGGGCTGACCACTTCCGGCTCATCCATGGCATCTACCACTACCACCAACCTGTCGTAGCTACTGCCACTAGAGCCTGTGGACAAGTGTATAGGATCAAGCATTCACATTGTGATGAAGAGTGAGAAGGAAATTGTTGGAACATTTCTAGGATTTGATGACTTTGTCAGCATCCTTTTAAAAAGTGGTGGTGGCCTAGGTTTTTTTAATTTTTTTTTTTAGTTGTTGATAGACATTTATTTTGTTTATTTAGTTGCAGTGCTGAGAATCAGACCTAGTGCTTCACACGGGCCAGGCAAGTGCACTACAGCTGAGGCCCAGCTCCAGCCCCCAAATGCTTTTACTGATACAATGAAAATCACACCAGAAGGAAGAGGATTACTAAATTAGATCAGATTTTGCTAAATGGAAATGAAATCACACCAGAAGGAAGAGGATTAATAAATTAGATCAGATTTTGCTAAAGGGAAATAATATAACAATGCTGATTCCTAGAGGAGAAGGACTTGGAGTCCAAACGAATTTCCTTGACTTATGCTAGATTCCACTTTGTTTGTAATAGCAACAAAATAGATTTTGTAAAACATCTTCTAACGTTTAGATTCTCTAAAGCTCGTTTTCCTGTTAAAGGGAAATACTTTGAAAATGTATTATATGGCCCTTTTTCTAAGTTAATCATGATTATCTTGGAAAAAGAAGAAATTAGGGTTTTTTTGAAGATTAAAAAAATAAAGGTATTTTTGGTTAAAAAATTAAAACAACAACAACAACAACAACAAATAAACTCAACGTGAAATTCTTCCCCGCTTACTAAACTCACAAAACCCCTGACTCAGGCCAGAAGGGACAAGACCCTTCCAGCTTCAGGGGCTCAAGTCCTGCCAGTACCAATCCCATCACCAAGCACCTTGTCAGGTTGGGTGGGGCAGGCACCCACGATCTCTGCATCCTCAGCTGAGAAGTAGTCATTCTCCAGCAAGTTGTCCACCACACACTGAGTGTTACGGATGTGAGTGACCAGAAGTTCCCGGTTGATCTTCAACAAGTTGATGTAGGAGTCAGAACCAGCTGGGATGCTCTCACGGTGCTCCTGTGTTTCCATAGTTAAAGTAGCAAATAGCTACTTTTCCCACATTCATCGTTAGCTGCAGGTGTCTTCCTGGTACAAGGGCAATCAGGATTCAGGACCCTCAGGGTCCCCGCCTCCCAGTGCAGACTCTAAAGTGATAAAGGAAGTGATCAACAAAGCAAAAGCCCTGGAAGGGTTCCCCCAGCTGTCTCTCCCACGGGATTTCTTTACTTACAGCAGGACGGAGGCATGCTTATGACTTTTATCTGAGATGCATTCCAGAAAAAAAATATATTTAATTTTTGGCTTGTGGGTTTTTAATAATTACTAGGGTAACTGAACAAAAGCACCCACCTCTTGTTTAGCAAAGCTCCCTAATTTTTATTATCTTCTTTGAGAAAGCAAAAGTGTGCCTGAATTCTAGACTGTGATCGAGCTGGACAGGTGTATGATCTTACATATCAAGGTTAACTGGGATGGGAGGTGTCTGCATCCTCCACGTGATGAGCACAGCAATCTCAGAACTGGGAACAGAGGAACTACAGGGGAGGGTGAGATACAGAGTGCGCAGAAAATGGCCCAAGGAAACAGCCTGCATGAGGACTCCTATGGTGACCAGAGCCAAGAAACCTAGGGACAACGATGTGTCATTACTGCCCCTTCTGTGTTGAGCCATAGACCTCTGCTGACCCTACTATCTTCATACCTTCAGTAAAGTCTGTTCTGTACAAGCACCATGGGGAGGAAGGAAGAGCAATGGCCATGTGTGGACTGAGAGGACAGAGGGAACATGGGTTCTTAGTGTGAGGTGACCAGGAGAGGCATCTTTCTGGAAACCCTTGAAAACCTCATGAACATGATGAATTTCCAGGAACAGGGACCCAAGTTATTTTAGCTGGGTATTAAAAATGGGTTCATCTGAGTTATCTCCAAATTGCGTTGATTTGCTTTCTTGCAACAACAAACTAAGATCATTGAGCTACATCTTTGGTTATCCGTATATGTGAAGAAAGAATCAAAATCTTGGAAGCAGAAAGACCTTGAACTGACCACTTGGTCCTTTGCCCAGGTAGGAAAATCCATACATTTCACAGAAATAGTATAAAATTATTATTGTTGAGCTAAAAAAAGTTCATAGACCTCTGAACAGTGTTATTCATTTATGTCTCATGAACCATGCCTGCTAACATTCAAGTCTAGTGGTTTTCAAATTTTTGTTTAACAAGTCATTTGTGAGTTTCTACGCTAACATAGTTCCATTTCTTTCTTTCTTTTTTTCTTTTCTTTTTTTTTTTTTTTTGTACCAGGGATTGAACTTAGAGCACTCAACCACTGAGCCACATCCCCAGCCCTATTTTGTATTTTATTTAAAGACAGGGTCTCACTGAGTTGTTTAGTGCTTCACTTTTTGCTGAGGCTGGTTTTGAACTCCAATCCTCCTGCCTTAGCCTCCCAAGACACTGGGATTACAGGTGTGTACCACCACGCCTGGCCTTCTTCTTAATTTACCTACCAAATTGCTAAGTCTTCATAGAATCTCAGTTGTACCTCACATAATAACCTCCCTTTTTTAACCTGAGTGACTAAGCAAGTGACAATATAAAATAAAACTTTGAGCAACAGAAGAGCAAGAGATTCTTACCAAAATGAATTTAAAGGATGAGAATGATTTGTTACTATTCTACTAACAGCATGCTAACCTATTAGATGTGAATGCAGCCTTTTTTATTGTGGTCAATTCTGTGACCCACTTTTAAGAGCCACAGCTTTAGAAAATCAATTCCTTTAAGACATATCAGCTGATAACATTAAATTTAAGTTAATGGTTAATAATACCTTTTAAAGTGTCTGGCATCATTCTGGGAAGGAAGTAAAAATGTTTCACTTCTCGCCTTAAAACTTCAATTTCTTTCTGGAATCTGCAAAATTGAAAAAGAAGAAAGGTGTTTGAAAATGCTATAGTGTGGAATGGTGAAGGAATGAGTGAAATTGCTAATAACATAGTTTTTAAATCCCAAAACTCCAGGATCTGAGAGTACTTTCTGTACCATTTTCTTTCTGGACAGGTTTCCAAATGTCAATCACTGGGGCACTACGTCACTTGTTTTGTTGTTGCCATAATTGAGACCATAATTGAGACCCACCTGTCCTTTACTTGCTTAACTTTTTGATTACAATTGAGTTTTTAAAACTCTAATAGATTAGGTGCACATTTGTAATCCCAGCAGCTGGGGAGACTGTGGCAGGAGGATCGAGAGTTCAAAGCCAGCCTCAGCAACTTGGCGAGGCACTTAGCAACGCAGCAAGACCCTGTCTCTAAATAAAATATTTTAAAAAGGGCTAAGGATGTGGCTCAGTGGTTAAGCACCCCTGGGTTCAATCCTCAGTACCAAAAAGGAAAAAACCAAGACCAAAAACAAAAACCCTCTAATAGATTAATTTTCAGGGCGGTTTTATGTTGCCATTAGAAAGAGGAAAAAATTACTTGCAATAAAGTAAATAAACTCACCAGAAATAAAACAATGTAAGTATATTCCAGCTGGTGGTACTGTCTGGAGAGTCTAGGGGTGTGAGGCCCTTTCCTCTTGGAAGCATTGGAGAGATGTTAAAGACCTAGTAGCGCAATGTTGAGACTTTTTCTTTAAGATGATGCCAACTGAGAAAGGAGTAGCTTCTCAGTTGACGATGCAGTTTTAATGCCTCGCTCTCTTCTTTAGGGGGCTGGGAATGGGGGTGACACACTTGCTTATCCCTCCCGTACCCCTCTCTGCTTCAGGCATCCATGATCCCATAGGAACAGTGACTTCTCTCCCTAGACTTTTCCTGTAATGACCACCTCGGACATCGCCGTCTCTCACCATCAAAGGTGGAAACGTTCTCCCGATTTCTGGCCACCTAAACAAAACACTATGTTACAGGTCGGCCAGCTGGTGAGGAGACTGTTCATATGGAAGTTCCAGAGCCCGGGTTTGGGATTTAATCAGGGGGCTGTTAGCTCAATTCAGCAGGATGTCAGAAAGACAAAAAGAGGAACTCAAGACTGTCGGGTCAACAGGATCCAAAGGGAGACCAAATCCATACCATGCACACGGCGGGAAAATTCAGAGTCCATGGGCATCTGTAACTAGGAACACCAGGGAGTCAGGGATCTCCTGGCCCTGAGAGATCTTTCACTGTATTTGCTGGTAAAGGGTGAGTCCTTCTGAGAAAAGGCAAGGCAAGGCCAAGGTCAGGCCAGGGCCAGGTTTCTGGGAGTAGAACTTGCTCTGCTGGGTGGGGCTCTCTGGCCAGTGGTACAGGAGAGTGAGGTTGGCAGCTGGAGGGAGACCCTGGTGAGGCAGCTCTAGGAAACAAACCAAGGGGTTCGGGACAGGAATCAAGGCAAAGAAAAGAAAGAAAGAAACAGTAAAAGGAAATCCACATCAATTGTGATTTTTTTTTCATACCAAGAATTGAACCCACGGGTGCTAAAGCACTGAGTCACATCCGCAGCCCTTTTCATTTTTATTTTGAGACTGGGTCTCACTAAGTTGCTTAGGACCTTGATAAATTGCTGAGGCTGGCCTTGAACTTGTGATCCTCCTGCCTCAGCCTCCCCAGGATTACAGGCATGTGTCACCCCATCCAACTAGTTGTGATTACTTTTGACTGATGGAATGACAGTGATTTATTTTGATTTTGGGAGGCATATTCCAAATTATCAAAAACAAAGAAAATACTTTGTAAGGGGAACTTGGAACCCTAGAATACAGAGAGGTCTCTGGGGACTGCAAGTGGGGTCAGGGGATTACCAGGGTTTTGCCGATGACGATTGTCAGAACTCAGCATCAGCACATGAGATGAGGTCACGGGGACCTATCAGAGAAATGATTATCCTAGAAGGGAGAGCAACTGGGACTCAGGGGCCAAAACTAGCTTCCTGTTTCTGTCCCCTAATCACAAGGAGAAACCACAGATACACATATTCAATGTCACTTTCTAAATGGGGATTTACCCCAGCTTTTTTTTTCCTCTTTACTATTCTAGGGCACCCTGAGAGGAGGTGTTTTCCAGACATCTTTCTAGGTTTTAATAATTTTTTTTCTGTTTTAATAACTTGTCCTCTTTTCTATAGTGACAACACCTGGTCACTGTAGAAAATTCGAGAATTTTGTAATGCATTCCGCTGTCATATATAAATTTTTAAAAAAAAAGAAAATGCGAGAAATGAAAAGAAAGAACAGGAAAAAAAGGAGGAAAAGGCAGAAAAAAGTTTGGAGGAAAAAAATTGTCACCTGTCACCCACATGCAATAATCACCTAACATTTTGAAGCCTTTTCTTTCAGTTTTCACCTATGTGGTTTGTGGGTACATTGGGTTCTGGTGTGTTTCTATCTCACCCTTACCTTTATCTCAGAGTTCTTTGTGAATGTCAGGGTCCTTTTGAAGCTGGTTTCTGACCAATCCACCAGGCTTCCAGAAAGCAGAACGCTTCACCTTACCTGGCTTTCCTTTTATAAAGATAAGAAGAACTTACAAGCCACGCTGCTGTGCCCCTGTGCAAGTCCCCGAACCCAAAAGAGGCTCAAAAGCGATGGCGGATGGCTGCACCTTCCCTGGCCTGACCCTGCCTGCCCGAACTGTGTAGCAAACCTGGGTGCTCGGCAGCCTCCACCAGCTGCCACGTCAGCCAACAGAGTTCTACCCTCCACCTGACCTGAGGAACGGCTGTCAGGGTGGAAATGCCTCCATGATGTTGCAGCCTCATGCATTCCTTCCACACAGATCCACTACACACTTGCTCACACTCACAGTCAGCCCAGCTCTGTGAGGGGCCCCAGCAGGCAGATGATCATTGCAAACACAGAGTAAGCGCTTTGGTTGGGGACCTGCATTGACCTAATGCTTTACATACTCTGCAAAAGGCAGGCTTAAATACATGGTCTCTGGAGTCCTTCTCTGGTGTTCAAACTTGATCATTAGCAAGTTAGAAGGAAGCACCTGCTGCATAGATCCATGGCGGAAAGGACTGGTTGCTAGTAAGTTATTTTCAGGTTACAGGGAACAGGGCACACCAAAGTGATCTCGTTCATGGGCTTTATCAGATGGCTCATTGTAAGGACCGCCACTCACTAGCAAGTTAGCCAGCTTCTCTGGGCCTTGATTTCCTCAAAGTGAGAATCCCTGCCTCAAAGTGTTGCTGGAAGAATTGAGTTAATGTGCACAAAATGTCTAGACCAGGGCTGCAGACAATAGACCTCAGTCATTTTCAAATCATTTGATCTTTTCTGTCATCTCCATCCTTACCACAACCGCAGGTGGCAGAGGCCAGTGTTACCACTGCTTTACAAATGAGAAAACTGAGGTTAAGTGTCTTCATGTGGTTCACAGCTGGGCAGGGCAGACCACTCCAGAATGAAGAGTGAGTGCATAAATGGAACGAGAAATGCAGAGAGAGCCCATCTGGAGCTCTCTAGAGAGCTTCCTTGGGCTCCAGTCATGGTGACCACAGAGGTGACTGCTCCATGGGAGCCCTCTGTAGTGGAATGTGACAGGTAGATATGGTTAGAGCCCCTCTCCCTTAGGGAGTTTGAATTTGAGGCACACAGACACTGACCTGGAATAACTCAGACACATGAGTAACAGCCAAATGGTCTCCACAGCCACCAGACACGGGAGCCCTTATTTCATGTGGCCTTTTAATAAATCCCATGAACAAATCTTCCCAGCATGCCCTTGTTCCTGCAGCCTATTAACACTAGCAAATACAGTCCTGTTTAGCAGGTAGCTTTGTCCTGTGCAAGATCATCCAGCAGTGCCTGGATGCAGAAGTCACCCTGCCTCGAGTGTGGCTGTGACTCTTTACTCCCAGAACAAGCAGACACAATCTTCTCCCAAGACAGAATTTGGCCTCCATCCCAACTGATGAGGGCTGGGCAAGAGGAGAAATCTCAAGAAGTCATTTCCCATCATCTACACTGGCTCTATTATTTCACTCTTTGCCAAGACATCCAATTCTTGGAAATCATCATTCATTCTCCTTTAAACATATGTATTTCAAAATGAACAACACAGCTTTCTGCAAATTGGTGTTGCAATACCAGCAGATAAGATTCCAAACTTCTGAGTCCTGTTCAGGGAAACATAAAGAATGTAGCAGATGATAACTTTGAGTTAAAACTCAAAAGATTACACAAACAAAAAACCAAAAAAAACAGTGAGATAGATGTAGTCAGGCCATTCTGCAAGTATTTCTGCTGTGGAAACTTTCTGCAAATATATTGGAAACAAACAGAACTGTAAATAAAAACAAGGCCAGCTTTGGAATCTGGCCCAGGTCATCTCCCTGGCCACATCCCACTTCTCTCTTCTCAAGTTCTTTTCTTTCTTGAAATGCAAGTTCTCAAACAACCTTCTGCTCAGGAACCTGGGCAGCCCTAGGTAAAGGCTAGTGCTTTTACATACACAGAAACAGGCTTATAATTGGACTTTACTGACCATAGGCTATTTTTCACAGACTTCCTTGAAGATCAACATAGTGGTAGAAATATGCTGCTAGTTACATAGCCCAGGTGTTCCTCCTAGAGACCTGGATTACCACTCCCTACCTCCTTGCTTTGACCCATGACATGTGAGCAGAAGTGAAGGGAGGTGCTTTGGGTAGGCAGCTTGAGGTATCGGTGCACCATTCATCAACAGGCAACTCTTCTTTGGCACTATGGCCAACACCACGCAAGATGGTGGCTGCTCCATCAGCCCAAGGCCAAGTCCATAAATAACTCCAGTGAGTGGCACCCTTGCCAACTGGAGATGCATAGAGGGTGAGCGAGAAATAAGCGATGGTTGTTTGAGCTGCTGCGATTTTAAAATTATCTGTTACTGTGGTTCCTCCTTGCCCAATAATTTGACAGATACAATTTTATATAAGAAGAGCATTCTG